TCCCCGCCTTAACATTAACATGTCCCCTACGGTTTAGTCAAGCAGTCAGCACTTTCTCATCTAAGAGACAATAAAAACATCTGCCTCAGAAGCAGACACACAGTCTCCCGGAACAAAACAACTGTCCAGCATATGAACAAAATATCTGTCCATCTTCTATTCTCTCTCTCTCTCTCTCTCTCTCTCTCTCTCTCTCTCTCTCTCTCTCTCTCTCTCTCCCACACACACATACACACACACACATAAAATATCTATATACACACACACACTTGTTTATCTTTTTTGTTATATATGATGGCAGAGAAATGATTATAGGAAAATCTTACCGTGGGGAGAGATTTAACACACACACATAACGGAGCATAAAGAGAACAACAGAAGAGGTAAAAGAGACTAGGCCAGACAAAGCTATTCCCAATAAGCCAGCAGATAATCAGCATATAAGGAACCCTAACAACTCAAAAAGGAAAAGGTAAGCAGGCCGAGAGGAAAGCGAGCACCATTTGGAAGTTGATTCTCAACAAAGGGAAACAAAATGTGCAATAGACTTTCTTCATCTGTAATCTAGGAGATCCAAAATGGAAGACCACTTCCACTCAGTAAATTAAACAAATATGTTTATTAGACAACTCAGAATACTTACAGATTCTAGGTCTTTAATGTCTTCCTCTAACTGCTTGTTTTGCTCATTCATATTCATAATTATGTTCAATACAGACTGTCGAGGATGGAGCGTCCGATCAAACTGGTGGTACATGTTTCTCCAAAACCTTTATGACAAAGAAGTTTTTAAGCAAACACCATTCGATGGAATAGTGAGCTCTGGGGCTCTCAGCACAGCAGAGTGGGAACAGCTCACACGGCCTGTTCGGAGCTCTAGAAACAGCCGAGAGGAGCTTGCACACAGTAACAATGAGACAGAAACACCAACTGCTCTCATCTGATCAACACACGCTGTACACAGGTTCCCAAATATCACTGTTCATAAACATACACTGTTTGTTCATTAAAACCAAGAAGACAGTGTAAAAGGATGGGAATGCTAACTATCTTCATCTGGTCATTATTGTATACATGTATACAATGATCACATGGCACCCCATAAATATGTTTAGTTAAAATAATATTTTTAGGGAGTAGAGGTGGCTCAGTGGTTAAGAGCACTGGCTGCTTTTCTAGAGGACTTGGGTTTAGTTCCCAGCACACACATGGCAGCTCACAACCATTTGTAACTCTGGTTCCAGGAAATCTGAGGCCCTCTTCTGGTCTGCAAAGGCCACATACACACACACACACACACACACACACACACACAGTGCACAGATATACACACAGGCAAAACACTCATGCAAATAATGATAAAAATAAAATAAATATTTTTAAAAGTTCCCCAAATTTGTTTGAGAAAAATCCCATATAAATGCTTCAACGGTGCCAACTTACTTAAAGTTGAAAGAAACTGTATTTGGCTCCAAGACTGTCTCAGATGTGGAACTGTAGAGAGGGTTTAAGTACTTCTGCTTGTCATCCAAAAGAAAGGACCACAGGGAGTAAGTTCTCTCCTTCAACCTTAGAGAAGAAGGACAACTTAAGAGTCTCACCCGGTGGTGCACAGAGGCTGCTAAGTCTAAGATGAGGTGGTTGCTTTCAGTGGCTTCCAGCTGTAGACTTCCTCCTACAGCTAATACACTGCTACAAGTCAACCTGTTTCTCAGCCTTGTCCACTCAGGGATTCTTCTCACACACCCCGACTGCCAAGCCTCACAGCTGGACACTGGTGCAGTGAAGCTCATCTGCCTTATTCTCACAGCCCCAGGCTGGGCCATGACGGCTAATACTACAGGACAGAAATGCATGTCGGTGGCAGAGTTTGAAATGCAGGCTCCGTGCTCGTCTAAAGCACGTGGGTAGTGGACAGCTGGCTGCAGGCGAGGCATATACACTGCAGTGAGCCCAACAGATGCTGCAAGCATGCACCAGTCTCATGTGCCCCAAGATGGCCCACAGGTGTGCTCTAAGAGGGACTATTAGGAAAAAGTCATTGTTATTTTCCTCTTCTCGTTGTTTGAGGACGTTTGGTATCAGTTGAGAAGTTTTTCCTAAAATAGATCTGTACCCCAAGAAAAGTCACCGGGCTAATTATAATAAGCCATTTTGACTACAGCCCAAAGCTAACGTCATCTGGTTCCTTACTGTTCACCTCTGCACAGTCCACTCATCTGTCACGCCCATTACACCTTTAGAGTTT